TGTGAAGAGTGTCACAGTTATCTGCCAAAATATATATTGGTGAGTGTTAATTTAGTTTGTTTGATTACAATCTAATTTCCTGCTTCTTGAAGTGTTGCCGCAGTTGCCAGATGCGAGCCTGTGTCAGATGCACGCGAAACAGGCTGTAAGGTAGAAACACACTCGTATGTATTTGACATCCGTCTACAAAGCTTAGTCGGTCAAAGGGATCGCCGTCAAGGGGGAGATTTATTACCAAAGACTTTGAAGGGTTGCAACAGGAGTATGTTGTTCGACGTCGAGGGATGCAGCTAAAAATAAAATCAACAAGGCAACAATCATCAACCAGTTTAAAAGTAGGATATCAGGAAAGATGCCACCGAGTTATAGAAAGACATTAATTGCATCCATTTCTTCAGTGCCATGTAAAAGTCAAGCAATTGTGAGAAATGGCGAGTACTGCACCCGCTAGTAGGTACATCAATACCGTATGACGTCGACCACGCACACTTTCGTGTTTTACGCATATAACCTATTTCTTATGAGCAGCTTGTGGAATTTCGCGGCCGGCATAATGATTCCAAAATTCCGGACATGGTCATTCACAAACCCTTTGGGACGCAGGACATAGTGACTAGTATTAATATTCATCAAATGCGAACCACGGAATTAAATGTAGTGGCACGTAGATGACATAGTATCCATTCATTTCGATCGGGTATAACTACCCAAATTAAAATCTGGATACAAATAACAGGGGCTGGTTCACAGATGGTGTGCTGATGGCGAAATTCGACCTTGACTTCGAGGAGAATTACGTAACCCCTCCCTCGCACAGTCCCCCATCCTGGCTTGGTTTCGGCCTTGGAAGGCTTCCACTCAACACTACGCATTGCTCCCTGTTCCTTCCAAATCTCAGGTTGACTCACCAACAGGCTCAGTGGTATCACTATCAGAATCAGAAGACAACATGGTCCAGACATATGGCGTTGCTGCAGATCGCGATTCTGCTTCTACTGCAGTGGAATCATCTGCTGCTTCTACTATCAATACACCTCTGTTGGTGAGTGGAGGACAGGAGAGTGTAGAGCAAGGCGGAGAAGCCGCTGGGATACGGGGTGGGCACGCAACTATTCCAAGTTCTGTTGGGAATTTATGCAATACTATCATGGGTGAGCAGAATGTCGCATCTCCGAGCACAGTAAACTAATCCTATAATAGGTACAGGTATGGGTTGATCCTCTCGTTGTATTGATTTTCTCACGTCTATATAGGCATGTTGACATTCCCTCTGGTACGTGTCAACTGCTGTCTTGCCACTTAATACAAACGTTGAATAGTTACTAGTCCGTGGCATCTTCTGGTCTTCTACCTGGAATTTTAACGTGTTTATTCTCGGGTGGCGTCGGTGCTTTCGGTTTATACCTCCTATCAGTGACCGCAACACGCACCGCGCATCGACGAGCGTCCTTCTTTGCCGTTTCTCAGCTAACATTTCCTAAAGCTGCTATATTTTTTGACGCAGCGATCGCAATAAAATGTTTTGGAGTGTCCATTAGGTACGAACTTGATCGATTGAGGCATCTGTCTTGTCTAAATATTGTCTAGCTATTTAATTATTATCAAGGGGCTCATGCCAAACGTCGTTCTTTCTCTTTACCACGATCTTTTACCCGGCGATCCACCTGCATGGGCAACATCTGGGCGACTTTGGATCACACTACTTATGGCTGCTCTTATCCCACTCTCCTTTGCTCGCCGATTGGACAGCTTACGACACGCTTCGTACATCGCTGTCTTTGCTGCTGGTAACGATAAGTCATATTTATAATCCCGGTCAGTATCAATGACAAATATTCTAGGTTATCTCGTGATCATCGTCGTTGTGTGTTATTTCTATCCAATCAAGGGAACCACCCCTCCAGGACCCGTTTACTGGATTCACTTCACGCCAAACTTTGTCTCTACATTCCCAGTCCAAGTCTTTGCCTATACATGCGGTCAGAATGTGAGCATCGACAAGCGATCGATATCTGTTGCTAACATCAGCTGGTAGATCTTTCCGATTCATAACGAGCTCATTTCCAATTCTCAAAAACGTATGAATGTAATCATCGCAACATCCATTGGCACTGCTGCTCTGGCATACGAAATCATTGCCGTGTTTGGCTATCTGACCTTTGGTACCAACGTCGGCTCAAACATCGTGGCCATGTATCCTTCAACATCATTGTTCATTGCTTTTGGCCAATTAGCCATTGTCGTGACTGTGCTGCTCGGCCATCCTTTGCAGGTCCATCCGTGTCGCAATTGTCTAGACAAGGTATTTAGGACTGAGCCAGCGGTGTCGAAACCTGTGGTGGTGGTTCATGATAATGATGCCAATGAGGATGAGCCTGAAGAGCTCGACGAAGTTCACGGCAGCACTGAGATGACACCCACGAAGCACGCTGTTCTAACTGCTGCCATCATTGCATTTGGCTTCTTGATTGCATACTTTGTGGATGATTTAACATTAGGTGCGTCTCGCTTAATCAATGCGATCCTGTCAAGAGTAACCACACGACATTATTAGTCCTTTCTTTTGTTGGATCAACAGGCTCAACGACCATCAGCTTCATCCTTCGTGAGTTCCCACCGCACCTCAGTCGCCACAACATTTATTTATACTGCGATTAAAGCTGGCTTATTTTTCTGGAGTCTCTTCCGCGATGATCCAGATACCAGCAAGGCACTTACTTGGGGTGCTTTGGCGTTGGCAGGATATGGCATGCTCATCTTTGTATTCTGGTGAGCCGACGTCCAATCGAAACGGCATAAATTATACCTAACGCTCATGAATTACGCAATAGTCTTAGTTATAATATATACCAAGTTGTTCAGGGACCTCGGTTGCTATAGAGTAAATGGTGTATACGTAATAAATAATAGATTCCTCTTGGGTGTCCACAAAGGGCCGGCGCCTATTATACTTCGAACCAGATCAGCGCCAGTAGCTTCTACATAGTCTTCCAAATGGCTTGATGTGAAGTGGACGACCTTCCCTTGATACGATACTATCTCGACAGTGTAACATTCAGTATTATCGTCTAATTCTCCTTTTTCACCATCATTTCAAAGTACAGCGATGTCGCGCAGTGGCATACCTTCAGAACCTATATCTAAACCTCCTAGCGAGATAGACGACGATGTTGAAGAAGACTTGGAGGCGAACGAGCTTGAACCATTAGCACCGAACGGTCGCTCAGAAAGATTAGCACCCTCCCTATTTCGTGGTGGCTTTTGGAGCGGTCTTACAGCTGCAAAAGGCTCAAGAGACAACAAACGATACCTTGCTTCAATTATACCTGTTACCCCTACTACCCCTCTTAGTACCGACGGCGTGTTTGCCAATTTGTCTGCGAAGCCATCGTCTTCTCGTTCTCAAAATGCAGAAGATGAAGAATTGGACGAAGACGAGTGGATATTTATGACACCTGAGCAGCGAAGCAAGCTGCCGCCTCCCGTGCGTTGTCTTTACATCATATATCGTATTTTCACTGCTAAGTGGCAAATATGAACTTTTAGAAGTACTCCAGGATTAAGCGAGATAAGGCTCCGAAGTATAGCACGGAATATACACCTCCCACTCTTCCCTCCACGAAGGCTACCCGACCCAAGGCGGTCAAACCTCGCATCAATTCTTTATCTGCCGGATCCAGCACTCTCTTCTTAACTGCAGGCATCATATCCACACTATTTCCCGTTATTGGCTTCTTCGTCATGTATCTATCGCACTGCGGCCGCTGGAAGTGCCACGCTGCGAGACTTGGATCCCGCGCTGGTCTGGGACTGAGTCTCTTCCACATCGGCGCCATGTTGTTCTACATACCCACGTTGTTACCGGCGATATTCACACCATCGTCACTGCCTCTGGTGCTGTTCCTGTTGTGGACAGTGGCCGTAGCAATTCCGTTTGGGTGGGGGACGATACGGAGCGCATGGCACGAGTATTCGTGGCTCAGGACGCAGGAGCGTGTGTTGATAGAGAGGATCGTCAATGCAAATATTGTGGTTGAAGGAGATGGAGAGGAGGGATGCGATAATGATTGTGGCGATGCAGACGACGGCGGGTATACTTATATTGAAGGGACAGATATCAGGGTACGCGACTTGCAGAAGATATTAGCCAGAGCGAGGGATGCAAGGCTGGCTAGATCTCTACGGGCAGCTGGTTTCTAAATGCTGTGGCGTTGCGTCGATCCCGCTTAATAGGGGTATTTATTGAAATGACATTGTAATGTAATTTATACCCTTACAATGCTGGGTAGCAGATAAGTTTGTAATTAATTACTAGCTCAGTACATCTGTGATCTCGGACTCCTCGATGTCGGCGGTGCGTTTTCTAGTTGTGAGCTTCCGGCTGCGAAGCACACATTATGGCAGAACAATATTATTTTCAAAGATTCTGTCCATTTATATGAAGTCATGTGTAACAATTAATTGGAAAATTTAGATCTTTAAGGCTTAGGATACGGTGATATAGACTTTCATTTTTGCTAGTGTATGAGGGCATGTGGTTTAGTGGTATAACATTCGCTTAGCATGTGGGCGTGCGAAAGGTCCGGCGTTCAATTCGCCGCTTGTCCAGTACTTTTGCTTCAGGTGTGTATGCGCGAATTGTCTTTACGGCAATTCATCAATTTTTCTGCTTATTCTTTGTCTATGTGCAACAATTGTAAAGCTGAACTCTTGCTCATTGTACTTTTCACATCTTTTTATAAGATTGATTTTGTGAAGTACGAGGGCTGGCATATGGAAGTCTGAAGAGTATATATATCCTCTATTAATACAAGAGAATACGAGAGTCAGACATTCGATTTCACATGTTTTATAAGAGTCTCAGTGGTCTGGGATGGTTCGCGATGTTCAAATTTAAACTTCGGGGAACGTAGAAAACAAGGAACTAGGTAAGTTTGTATATCATTTGACAAAATGTAGAGGTTCCCCTAAAACTCAGGAGATTTATTGTTCCTACAAAAGGGTCTAGCCGGGAATTGAACCCGGGACCTCCTCCATCGTTAAGCATTCAACTCAACCCTAAGAAGGAATCATACCTCTAGACCACCAGACCAGTTGCCGATCGTTTCTTACTCATTTCTATGGCGTCCATTCGCTTCAAATACTGAATTTTATGAATTTTATTTATATGTAAAAACGTATTTTTTCCTTTGTATTTTATCTTACCGTGATGCTGTGACAGCGGACAGAGTTCATGGTGAGTGAATTCGGAAACTGTTATCAAGGAACTTCATATGGGAGCTGACTAATCACCCGTCGCTCCCTTTCAGCCCTCTTACCGTCGAGCACGATGCCGACGAAACAGTTAAACACACCCTACCCGCTTATTGATCAAGATCCACATTTCTCTCGTGTAGTCCGTTATTTCCGCCTGTCTGACTATGCAGCACTTGCTGGGGCAACAGCTGCTTTCCCAGGAGTTATGTACCTCTTAGGTTATCCTCTTTGTATTCTTCCCGCTGTTACCACTGACTTTGGCACGGAAACAGAGCGCATTGACCCTACGCGCGTCCGTGGTCGTCCTGGCCTAAGGGTACCACTGATATACAGTACCGTTCTCGGTTTTATGGGAGGTTTCCTTCTGGCATACCAACGATCAACGTGTACGTTTCCCAATGTTCCGACAGTAATGCTAAGTGGATTTGGATTTATTTTACAGTCCGTTTCTGGGGCTGGACAGAAAACGAGCGAGAAGAAGCGAGGGATCTTGCGGAGCTTTCGGCTTTGGCTGAGGAGGGCAAGCCGCTCTATGGCATATCTAGCCAACCCGAGTGGGTAAAACAGACTGCTGCTGGTAATTCTACCTTTTCGCAACTTAAATTTGGTGAGTGAACAGCCTGCTGCTGGACGAGGATTTAACTGATTAAAAATTCTTAGGCGCAGCGCCAATGTAAGAGATCATCATCGAAGTTTACACTGTATCCTACAAGCTCATCTTGGTTCTCATCCAGGTTCAATTTTGTTAGCCACAACCATCACGGAACGGATCCCGCTAAGTATGGTGTCAAGTCCGAGATAGCTGGTGAGAAAACAGAGGGCGTATAGCTGTATATCAAACTGGCAAACGCAAACGAAACCACAAACTTATTTTTTCACTTTTTGTGCTCTTTTGACGCAAGCAAAGCCAGACATACGCGTCGGTAGGCTCGAGTGTTAAATTCAACTTGCCTTCCTCCCCTGCTATGGTTCTGTCAGATTCTGCTAAGTATATAGAACTATTCTTGGAGATTTTCGTAGGTACATAGTATTTGCGAATTCTGTCTCCTCGCTTTTTTAGATCTTTGTAAGCACATCACCTGTTGTGAGTCTGAGAACATTTCCACTTGCCTCAATATTTGGCCAGCGCACTCCGGCCTGAAAAAAAGTCTCTCCCTCTAGCTAACATTCCGAAAGACATTTGATAGGATTCACCAGGGATTCTATTTCGGAGTAGTTAATCCTCAATATACAACAGTCTGTTGAGGGACCTGGAATCCAGCCACAATTAACGTATCAGATAAAGATAGTCGTCGTGATAAGTTGTGAGCCTCAAGATCGTGTGACTAACGTATTACATCATTTGTCGTAGCCTCAGACTGACAATGATGTCTCTTCGGCACAATATTAATGTACTCCAATACGCACCATTTCAAGAACAATGGTGTCGCCTAAACTAAATTTGCAGACAATGGAAAGGAAGAACAACCTTACCTAAAGCGCTGTACTCCATTTGAAAATTTAGCCTTTGTCGGTAGTTCGAATTTATAACTCCGTCTCGCCTCGTGGTTTGCGTCCATTGTTCTTTCTACCAAACCACCATGCCTGCCTCCCAGAGGAACGAAATCGCTCAGAAACGTAGAAGGGATCGGAATGCAATATCACCGTATAATCAGACGAAGAGGAAAGAGAAAATGGTAAATTTTGAACGAATTATCACATCCATGATTTTCACCATGGTTTAGATGGCATCGCGGGGCTGGGGTCCGTCGATTTGGGATCTACTGGCCTTTTGGAGGTCAAATAAGGAGCCAGAAGAGGAGATGAACATAGATGAAGAAGAGGCAGACGAGACAGACGAGGCAGAAGAGGCAGAAGAGACACCAGATAACGACCAGTCTGCGGATCTCAGTGGCGCAGCTGATGAGAGCGTGTCGATGATGAACACAAGTACTATCTCCGAGGATCAAGTGAGGGTGCAGTTGATTTCTCGGTCCCCGCGACAAGTTCGATTTCAATTGCCAACTGACCATGAACGTCGTACTTCACCTCAGGTAGAGGCAACAGCTCCTCAGAAACGTCCACCTTATGTCGCCCCTTTGCCGCCTTCGTCATCTCAACGACAGTTTGGACCTTACAGTGATCCCATTGCAAAGGTTTCCGAATACCTCGAGACAGTCGTTCGTCCCAGAGGAGGCGAATGCACTGATATAGAGGCTCTTGGTCTTAGCGTGCTAATTCAGAGTTCCGTTAACCGTAGGTTATTTCCCTTATGTTATGTTACGTTACATGTTGATTGTACATTTTAGAGTCGACGTCTGCCGAGGCTACCCTTAATAAGCTCATATCCTCCCCCTTTAGTTTCCCGGCATTTAATACACCCTTCCCCCTTCGGCCAACGTTTACTACTCCGGAGACTAACTTGGCAGCTCTGTTGTCACCGAAAACTGGTTATACCAAAACCCCGATCACACGCACGTTGGCGCAGAATCCTAATGGTCCTCTGTTCTACCGAGGCGGCGGCTCCGCTCGACCGCGTTATCGTTCGCCTGCGTTTGCTAGCTCCTCCCCGAGGAAAAAGATTTTATTTCCGAGTAATTTTGGAGACAGAAGAATGGATGCGCCTAATGGACATGCAGAGCCTGCTTCGCCAAGTGACGGTAAACGGAGACGCGTTGGTGAGGAGAAAGACTCATCTGTTGCCCAACCTTCAGGACTGGCGTCTGAGTCTGAGTCATCGACGGCTACCCAAGAACCCACAGATATGGTAGGCACTATAAACGGAACAGTGACTTCGAACTCCAATGTCCAAAGAACATTACGCTTTAATCCGCCACCACGACTCACAGCAAGCACACCTGTCAAGCCCAGTCCATTACGCCAAACTGTCCGCGCGGATAGCTCAAGCCCTGGTAGTCCGAACTCAAGTGTGAATGGCGTTAATGGCACGACTCCCAATGGCAGTAAGGTAGCGAGTGATATATTGGCACACATCATTGAAGAAGCGACACCGCCGAAGCCGAAAGTGCGTCCTGCATTAGTTTTGCGTTCTTTTGCGTGACTGACGGACACCACCAGGAACCTACTCTTGAAGACAATTTTCGTAACCCGTACCAGAGAGGTACAAAACGTGCCCGAAAAGTAAGTTTTGTTGAGCCGTTGTTACGTGCATGTTATTCTAATATTTTATAGACTATAACAAAGGTGGTACGACCACCACCTCTTCCTCCTCGTCCAACGCGTTACACAGAAACCGCTTCCTCAACAGTACCCGAGTCTCCAAAGAAGTTGAGTGCTTTCGAAACTATCCAACGAACGGCTCCGCAGCCTGCAAGTCAGGTCAGGCCAATCCTACCTTTGTTATCAGCAGCTAATTCAAGTTTCCTTATCTAGACTGCTTCAAAGCGATCTCTAGGTGTAGCAACAATTCCTCAGGGAGAGATTAAATATAGTGGTGCAGGTTCCAGTGACAACCCAGTCATCATTGAGCTGGATGATGATGATGATGAGCCGCCAACGAAAAGGCAGAAGGCAACCAATGAATCAGAAAGGGAAACGGGGGGAACTCCTAGAGAGGCTCCAGAGGCTCCAATCACTATCGACGTGGACGTTGATATGGATGCAGGCGACGCCTCGGCTACGCGTCCTTCAGAGGTCGTCGAGCCAATGGACCAAGAGGCCCAAAAGCGACAGGAAGTTAAGCGCGCGCTATTTCCCAGCACTTTGGGGAAAGGGAGGCGGCTCAAGAGTGTGCCGAAGGAGCCATCGCCTTTGCGGCAAAGCTTCCAACCTGGTGAGCCACCCAGTCCGCCGATGGATGCTGCAGTGAAATCGGATGACCAGTCAAAGTCCGGTGAAAATGGTAATTCCATCTTTGGATCTGGCCTGGCGTCTTTTGGATCGGAAACTTCTGCATTTAAACCCGCGAATCCTTTTGGATCAACGACAACCACTACTGCGGCGTCCATTTTTGAATCGAAGACCACAAGGGACGTGGCTCCATTATTCGGACCTACAGCCGTTATGCAAGCTACCCTAGGACCGTCATCCGGACTTTTCGGTTCTCCTACAAGTGCCGCGCCGTCTTTTGGTGCCCCCTCGATTTCATTTGCTGCGCCTCCCTCGATTTCATTTGCTGCGCCCCCCTCGATTTCATTTGCTGCGCCCCCCTCGAGTATATCCGACACGCCTGCCAAAGCTTTGTCGTTTAGCGCAATTTCCTCAATATCTGCACCTAGTGTGCCGTCAATAAACCCCTTATTTGGTGCATCTTCACATACCTCTGAGAGGCCTACATTTAAGGTGCCTTCAACAACGTCTTCAATCGCGCATGTATTCGGTTCATATCCTCCAACTACCTCTATTTTCCCTCCAGTCAATTCACTGTCATCATTGACTGCGGCATCACCGATCGTCCAGTCTGCATTTGAACCGCCAGTACCCATACACACCTCTTTCGCAACGCCTGCTCCATTGGCCACGACCTCTGTCACTGAGACCGATGTGCTCGCATTGGCTAGAGCGGAAGTGCTTCGAATGCCTGCGTCTTCACTGCCCAAATTTGAGTTCCCAATGCCTAGCCCAACGCCAAGTGTTCCGGAACACACGGCTGCACGCATTGCTGCGCAGAATGTCAGCGACAACGACCTTCCCAAATATGATTTCCAGGCGGTCAAGTCTCCGTTTTCCGGACAAGTTAAACCGTCCAGCGAGTCGGTAACGTACACTTCAACCCCTGCACCCACTGCACCCACAGGTTTCAATTGGGCAGCGGCGGGAATGAAACCTCCTTCCTCATCCATATGGCGGTGCGGGGAGTGTTTTGTCGAGAATAAAGACTCCAGGTAATGTAGATTT